ATGCTCACCTGAGCTCCAGTTTTGAAATTTGTTGTTGTTTAGTCGTGACCGACTCTTCGTGACCCCATGGACCAGAGTATGACAGGCACTACTCTCTTCCACTGCCTCCCGCAGTTTAGTCAAACTCATGCTGGTAGCTTCGAGAACACTGTCCAACCATCTCGTCCTCTGTCGTCCCCTTCTCCTTGTGCCCTCCATCTTTCCCAACATGAGGGTCTTTTCCAGGGAGTCTTCTCTTCTCATAAGGGGCCAAAGTATTGGAGTCTCACCTTCAGGATCTGTCCTTCCAGTGAGCACTCAGGGCTGATTTCCTTAAGAATGGATAGGTTTGATCCACTTGCAGTCCATGGGACTCTCAAGAGTCTTCTCCAGCACCATATATCAAAAGCATCAATTCTTCGGCGATCAGCCTTCTTTATGGTCCAGCTCTCACTCAAACGCCAGCCAATTAAAAAGTGTCTAAATCAGAGCACCTCCTGATTAGCCCTAGGCATGGTACAAAAATATAAATTGATACCAATATTTGTTGTTGTTGGCATTGTCATGAAAGAGAATGGATTGTGTCTCCAGGGGTGAAGTCAAACCGCTGCATTAGCAGCACTGAAGTGACCTCATTGGAGTGCAAACTTGGGCTGCGTGTATGGAGACCCTGGGCTGCCCAGACGACAAGACCCCTCCCTCAGCCTCGTTGATGTAGTCCAATGGAAAGCAGAGCAGTATGTTTGGCACCAGCTTGGCTGCAGGAGTTGCCAGAAGGAAGTGTACAAGGTGCCATCCAAGTGTCTGAGAGACTCCACTCTGGATTTGTTTGGATTTACTCCTTAGCCTTTTCTTCTCTCAAATATATCCCATAAGGCAGCAGAGGTTTAGGATCAGAGTTTTGCTTTTTCTAGATGGGCTACGTTCCCAGGCTGATGAGCCCCATCTGCCCCTCACTTCCCTCAACAGCATGTGCAGAAACCACATTCTTGTTGGTTGGACCTGCTATTGATCTTGTCCACTCAATCTGCCAGAGTCTGTCTTCAGAGTGGTGTAGTGGTTAAGAGCGGTAGACTCGTAAACTCGTGAATCGGGTTCGCGTCTCCGCTCCTCCACATGCAGCTGCTGGGTGACCTTGGGCTAGTCACACTTCTTTGAAGTCTCTCAGCCTCACTCACCTCACAGAGTGTTTGTTGTGGGGGAGGAAGGGAAAGGAGAATGTTAGCCGCTTTGAGACTCCTTCGGGTAGTGATAAAGCAGGATATCAAATCCAAACTCCTCCTCCTCCCCCTCCTCCTCCTCCTCCTCCTCCTCCTCCTCCTCCTCCTCTTCTTCTTCTTCTTCTTCTTCTTCTTCTTCAGATGCTGGAGAAGTCCCTCACGCACCAAGGGTTTGAGACCCATCAGCTACCCTCACCTGGTTTAGCCGGGCAGTCAGAGTCATTTCCCGGGGTGTAGACACTGTTGCATGTTGACAGATTCTATGAGCCACAGGTGAGAGCTGAGTGCAGGATGGGAACTAAAGGTGGACAAACTACCCCAGAAGGAGCACAATGTGTCCCCCACCAGAGGCACTACCCCTCCCCTAACACTCCAGACACCCCAATCAACCATATTGATAAAAACTATAAACCAATCAACATAATTATAATTAGAAATATTAAAGAAGTAGATAAATTCACCCCCTTCACGGATCACTGCCTTGTCGTGGTGAAGAGGCTTCACTACCCCAAGAAGCAGTGAGCCATGCTGTGCAGGGCCACCCAAGACAGACAGGTCATAGCCAAGAGTTTAGACTAAATGTGATCCACCTGGAGAAGGAACTGGCAAACCATTCCAGTATTTTGCCAAGAAAACTCCATGGACATAAAAAAAGGAGAAGCTCTGAGAAGAAAGTGAGAGTTTCCAAGGCATGCTCTGTTTCATGGGGTCATGGAGAGTCGAATATGATTAGGATGACTAAACAACAACAAGAAGATAAATTCACAGCACCAGCAACAACAATAATAATCAAAATCCAGCCACGTTGTCAACCCATAGATTGTTGAAATAGGTAGGCCTTCAACTGATGCTGAAAGCTCATCAGCACCAGTGGCGTTTCAAGAGGGACATTCTATAATCAGGGCACCCTCACAGAATAAGCCCTTTCCTGACTTGCCACCTAACAGATGTCCCTTGGATGCAGAATAACCAGAAGGTCATCAGCTGCTGATCTTAACACATAGGGCTGTGTACAGTCTCTGTTTGTGTATGTGCTTAAAAGGAAGCTGTGAGTTCTAAGCACTTCACAAGGGTACAATAGAGAAAAGCTGGCGTTCTGTCATCTAATCCAGGTTTTATTCACAAGGTCAAAGTAAATGGTGTCTAGTTCCTTAGCTGAACTTTGCAACTGAAGGAAAGAGGCCACAGACAGACAAAAGGCAGAACCCTCCCAGGACTCACATAATCTTACCTGCTGAAATCTCTTCCTATTATGATGCTGATCATCTTCATTCCTGTTCAGAACAGAGCAGGGCATTGGGGAATGAAGCAACATGAATGGACATCCCTCGTATAATCCTGTGAGAAATTAATTAGTCAGTGTTTGTAATTCACTCGGTGCTTCTCTGATGAAAGGTGCCAAGAAAGAGTAAAATATTATTATTACTATTAAAAATATCCCACATGGAAAATATTGTGTGTATATAGATGAGTGATTTACATCGATTTACATATAATTTGCTCCTCATTTATTTAGCTATAAAGGCTGTATAAACTAAGATTTAAAAATCACTTTACATAATATCTGTAAACTAAAGCAAGCAAAATTATGCACCAAGAATAATTTATCCAGCAAATTTTCATTCCTTTTGTGTTCACAAGTTATCTATGAAAAGACTTTTAGCTTTATGAATTTATCCATTATTCATAGACATTTGATAACACTTTGGACAAACTCCTGGATTGGTGTGCGTGAGTTTAGCAACCACTGGCAGCTAAGAAGCTGTAGTGACCTACATCCATGGCAGATTAGCCTCATTGTGCAAACAAATTTCTGAGCTGTCTGTTGACTTCTCACTGATAAATTAATTGATGAAAGTCAAATTTTGTACCTGTTTTGCTCTTCAGTGTGTATGAAGATGAGACTCTACAAAGTACATATTCAGGATTACTTCAGACACAATTTTCAATCTAAAATAAAATTAAATTGAAAAAAAAGAAAAAAGGGCCATTTGTTCCCCAATCAGGAAAGGGAAAGGACATGTCTTTGCTGAAACTGCTTTGAGGAGGGGCAAATCCTACTGTGATAAAAAAAAAAGTTTGTCAGTAGAAATTCAACTTTATTTATTTATGTTATTTCATTCATTTATTTATTTATTTATTTATGTTATTTCATACCATTTATTTGTGACTTGATTGTAGGGGGGTGGGACTCAAAGCAGTTTGTAGTGAGAGATGTAGGGTTGATAGAAAAATACCCAGATTTTATCCAGTCTCTTTCAGTGTTTGAATCCAGCTTCTAGCTTGAACTGTTTTCTGCTACAATTTATAATGTGCTCATTATACAGCATCATTATTCCAATTGCTCACTGATGAGAGCCAGTGAGTCACTCTTATGGGGTTGGGGAGCAACTTGGATTTGTTCCTGAAGTCAACAAGTCCATTAAGAGTATAAAGTCACATTAAGAAGCAAACTGTATATTTGCATTTCTTTCTTTCTTTCTTTTGGCAGGGAGCTGCAATGTCATTGGGTTAGTTATAAAAACTGAACCCCCCTAAATAGCTAGTGATCTGTTATTTGAGGGCCTAATTTATTTTTTTAAACTGACTTTTTTGGTGAGGTAATACATTGCATCCAGAAGAATCTCAAAATTCTGTTACGTTATTGAAAGATCATCTTTTTGCTTGAATACCACGGAGCTTCAAATTCCACCCTGTGCGACAAAAATCAGGGAAGAACAAAGAACGCTGGATGACCAAAAAACTTGTGGAAACCTTAACTATCTCATTTGAAATTGAAATTTGAAATGCCAAAGTCTTGAAATGGACACAACCAATTAATAACACCTCTCTCCTTCTACTCCTGAACTCTTTTTTTACCGTGTGTGGTGCAGAATACAATGTGAAGGGTTGTCTAATGATCCAAGGAATCAGAAAGCTCTCCAGTGGTGTTGGAGACAGACAGTGAGGTCCAGACAGGCTGGTGCTTAAATTCCAGAGCAAGTGGACAAGGGTCCAAAGTGCCAGAGGAAGATGACATGGTCTAGGATGGACTAACAAGGGAGCATGGAAAGTGAGTTTAACCCTTTCTTTCAGACTGGAGACCAACCCTTAAAAGGGTCTTATATGAGGCCAGCAAGGCCCCTGTTGACTTTTCAGGTCACCTGGTTCCTTTAATTGCAATCTCCCTTCTTATCACTGTCAATGTGGAGCAGCAAGGCTCACGCCAGCCAGTTCCGCTACCTGTGAACAGAATGCTTTTGGAAGGGCTGTAACCGAGAGGTAGATCACATGTTTTGCATGCAAAAAGTCAGGTTCAGTCCCTGGCATTTCCAGGGCTGGGAGAGAATCCTGCCTGAAACCTTGGAGGTGTTAGAAACCCTGGTCAGTGTCAATAATAGATGGACCAACAGTCTAACTCAGCATAAGGCAATTTCCTGAGCTCCAATGTCCCATTATGTAAGCACTGACACAGATAATGGTAAGGGTTAACCAGGGTTATAACTTATACAGATTGTTTACTCAGAAACAAAAATCAAGGCTGCAACAGGGAAAACATGCAACTCGGCTTTACTAACAGCAGATAGCAATAATAAAATCTGTTTGCCCACAAAGCTGCAATACATTTGCATACAAGGCTCCAAGCACAACAGGGGATACTTGCTGAACAAATACGGCTCACTGTACCTGAACCTTTCATTTCAAATAAGGAAATGCCAATCCACTGATATTTGGGTGAAACCAAGACTTGGGCATTTCCCAGTTATTCTAAGACAAGACTTCACTGATGGAACATTGATCCTATGATTCAGTTTGGGGAAGGGCAGTAGCTTAGTGGTAGAGCATCTGCTTTTCAGGCAGAAGGTCTCAGTTTCCATCCCTGGCAGGGTTGGGAAAGATCCCTGTCTGAAACCTTGGAGAGCCATTGCCTGTTCATGTAGATCAGTGTTTCCCAAACTTAGGTATCCAGGTGTCTTTGGACTACAACTCCCATCATCCCTAGCCAGCAAGACCAGTGGTCAGGGATGATGAGAATTGTAGTCCAAAAACAGCTGGAGACCCAAGTTTGGGAAACACTGATGTAGACAATGATCTGTACAGTATAAGGAAGCTTCCTACTTACCATCCTGAAATCAACTTGTAAAAGCCTAAATGCAATATTAAATCAACACAACTGAAGCTAACTCTCTTAGACGATTCTCACTTAACTGCCCCTTTATCTCTCCCCACTTGTATAAACCATTTTCCTGCACAATGTTTTTTCCCTCCACCTTTTTTTAATTAAACGAGAGAGATAAATGACCTTATTCTTTGTACTATTTTCCATTTAAAGGCTGTATTTATTATGTGACATAGGATACTGGTATAAATGTCTTTGTAAGCATTTGCCTGAAAGCTGAACCCTCCCATAAAATATGGAACAAGGGCCATAGTATTAATTTCAATTAAGATTTCACTGAACCTCCCAGCCATCTGGTGCTAATATCACATACAACCCCTTGCCCCCAGTAATCACCTTAACAACTCTTCCACGGGACCATACATCCGCTTTTTCTTACTGTTCCTTCCAAGTTCTGCCAAGTCTGCACAGCCTTTTCAGTTCAAACTATTTTTCACCTGTCATCATCTGATCAGAGCCTCATTTCTTAACCACAGGTCACTGACCCATAGTACATCACCCATGCTTGTATTCTATTAACTGCAAGCATAAGCATAATGTTTCACATGAATTCAGAGCAATGGCTTCACGTCTGTCAGGCCCATAAGTGGTTTGCTGGGTGGGTCAGAGTCATGATGCTAGCTTCTCACCAGGGGGTTGCTGTCCCTTAACAGGAGGGAGATTGGACAGGGTGAGGAGGAAGGGAACAGACATGGTTCAAACACACCAGCAGGAATGCAAGCTTGGTTCTGCTGGTGCCTGAGCACCTCAGTGATCCCCCATCACCTTGCCCAGTAAGCAAAAGTGACCCTTCTGGCAAAAAGCAATTGCTGTGACTTCTCCTTCACAGTGGGAGAGCCAGTGTGGTGTAGTGGTTAAGAGCGATAGACTCGTAATCTGGGGAACCGGGTTCGCGTCCCTGCTCCTCCACATGCAGCTACTGGGTGACCTTGGGCTAGTCACGCTTCTTTGATGTCTCTCAGCCTCACTCACCTCACAGAGTGTTTGTTGTGGGGGAGGAAGGCAAAGGAGAATGTTAGCCGCTTTGAGACTCCTTCGGGTAGTGATAAAGCGGGATATCAAATCCAAACTCTTCTTCTCCTCCTCCTCACCCAGAGAGCTTCTAGGCAGGCAAATATTCTTACTATCCCAGAAAGGCTTTTGATACTTTTAACAGTATGAATGGTGTAGCACAAGATGCCTCATCAAAAAGACTAGTTTTGAAGGTGCACAGATGTGAGATCGCTCTCATGGTTGTGCTTGTCTTCAACAATGTCAAACAATTCAATTGGGCTGACTGCAGGTGGTTGACAATCTATCACACAAGAGATCTAGGAAAAAGCAGGATTGCAGTAGTTACAGAGCTACAGTTCCCAGAGTTCCCTGGGAAGAGGGGTTGATTGTTAACTCACCCTGGGAACTGTCACTCTGTGAAGGTAACAGGGGTCTCCTAAGAACTCTCAGGACCTTTAACAAACTACAGTTCCCATGACTGTTAAAGTAGCATGAGCAATTCAAATGTAGAGTCAAATGTAGAGAAACCTCAGTCTCCAAGCGGTGCGGCGTTCCAGGGTTTCCTGCACTTGCCCAGGGTGCAGTTAACTTGGAATGAGGGACAGCGCAGACTGGTGTCTTCACGATATCTGGTTCATTTATAGCTGAGTTATGATGGAGGGGCTCACAGCATCAACGCCCCAGAAGGTCTTGCTTCTTCCATTGAAATCAAGCATGGCTCTCACTATGGCTTCTGCCAGCTTCTAGTCCAGCTCTCACATACCCTTGCCTTTTTTCTTTCTCACTACTCGCTAGGTGAGGTAGAGGGCCAACACATTTGCCTTCTGACACAGAGCAGCTTCCTTTGTCAGACGAATAACCATACTTAGGTGGTAATTATGAGCCTTTCCTGGCTAATTCAGCAATGGATTCCTCCGTTAGATTCTATCCCTTGGTGGACCCCAAGGATTAGAAGGGGCTCAGGCATCATGCAGCTGACCCCCACCCCAAATTCAAAACAGTGTGGATGTGACCTATTTCATACTTGCTCAGCTACTGTAGTTGTGAGGAAACCACTTCTTTAAAACAAAAGTAAGGTGCTAGTCCTTGTGGAAATGGACAAAAATGAATACACACAATTGCATGCTCGGAAGGGGGCAGAATTCTTTTGTTTGCACATTTGATTGTTTTAAAGCAGTCTCACAGACTCTCCAAGTGTTCCTGTTTTCCAGGGACAGTCCCAGATTTACAGAAGCCATCCCGGTTTCTGATTTGATCCTGGAATGTCCACTTTTCCTTAGGAGGTTCCTATTTTGATTGGAGAAATGTTGGAGGGTATGGAGTTATGTGACCCCCCACACCAAGGAGATACAACCTTTAGAAGACATCTGAAGGCAGTCCTGTATATGGAAGTTTCTTAATGTTTAATGTTTTATTATGACTTATATATGTTGGAAGCTGCCCAGAGTGCCTGGGGCAACCCAGTTAGATGGGCGGGGAAGAAGAATAATATTTCCCTATTTTAATCAGTGAAATTTTGGAGGATATGCTTTCATCAGAGTTTAGCTCTTGCTTTTGAACATAACCCTGCGTGAACTTGCAGACTTTTGCCATTCTGGCAAGAGATGCAGCAGGTGCAGGGAAATATGAGAAGCGATATCAAGTGGCTAATCAGTCCTGTGTGGAATGCTGGCAAGCGCTCAATTATTGAACATATTCTCTTTCAGATTCCATATTGTGCAGGTCCGTATTGTATATGCCTTCTATCTAAATAACTCACTGAAAAGTCAAGCTGAGTGAATGAAACAGCTGTGCCCCAAAACAGTACACTGTGCATACATAGCTCCTTCAGAACTTTTCCTTGACCTCCCACTCCTTAAGCCGTTATCCGTCCCAATGGCTGGAAAGGGTCTAACAGCTCCATGTGGCTGTTTAAAGACAGAAGGGAACTCAATGTGTCCTATATGCCATGAAGAATTGAATGTGGAGATCAGGCCCTCTGCTGGTTGGAGGCATAAGAGCTGAGAGTTGATGTTCCAGCTGCGAGATCAGCTCTTGCTTCAAGGAAGCTAATATAAATTCTCCTTTATGTGATCTTTCTACAGATTTGAGAGCCAAAGGTTCTTGCTTTGGGATGAAGGAGGAATATATTTCTCATGCATGCCAGTTCACAGCGAAGAAATTGAAACAACTGAGAGAAGAAGATATGCTCAGCTACTTAATTAATCATGTGCTCAAATCCCTGCACCTTAATAATATCTTAGTGTCCTTGTTTAAAACAACAACCCAAAAGCAGCCATTAAAAAGGAGTCCAGAATATTATCATGGACTCCTACTGATAATTATTCAGACATTTTGCTAAAGGTAGTAAATAGGATTCACTCATGTGCCCTTTGAGACCTTGAGACAATTCAGTATTCATAGTAAATATATCACTGAACTTCATAAGAGAACAGTTTTTTTAAAACAAAGCCCAGCTAGCTACTTAATAATTTACCAATACCGATAGCAAGGAGAATATCTAATAACGAGCTGAGATTGACTTTCAAATAAGATTTGGTTTTTGCAACAAAAAAAGAAAATAAAAATGTTTAGTTTTGTTTAGTTTTTTTAAATCCTAAGCAACTGACCATTATTACAATTAGAATCAGGTTCTTGTGACATTACTGGCTTGCTTTATGGACATTTGGGGCTGGCAGAAGCAGGAAACAAAGGCTTGTGCTGGAGGAAGTTGCAGAGCCTCGTTCATATATATTTCAGAGCACTTTTTTTTAAAAAAAATATATTTCAAACAGCCCTTTCAGCAGCTCTGTGGAATCAATGCCTTCAGTGAGCATCTTTGTTTATAACCATTCCTTCACAGTAGCAGGGAAACATGGCCTTGGTAGAACAGGGGACCATTCAGCATCTCTTATAGAACCATTACGAAGCAACCTTCACAAAAAAGGGAAAGACCCCACAGAGAAGAAGAATGCAAATTAATGCTGATATTTATATGGCGCTCAAATTATTTTCCCAAGCATTGTATGAGCATCCTCCTCCCTGTCAGCACTCCACTGGTTTCTAATAAAAGAAATTAAATTAGTGATTTATCTGCTAATTCCTGCCATTATTGGATCCTACAGGGAAGGGAATAATAGATGCTTTTTTGAGTATCAGTGACACTGGATTGGGCAGGGGGCACCTCTACATCATTCTCATTCATTATGGATCTCCAAGGAAACAAGAAGGTAGACTAGATGCACCTTTGATCGGATCCAGCAGCGATGCTCTTATGTTCTTATGATGGCCAGGCACAAAACCTCCCAGGAGACAGTGAATGAGTTGCACAAGTAAGGAAAGCATTTATTTGTAGTCAGTTCTGAATCTTCCCTGAGATACTCAGCTTTGACTCTCTCTAAAGGAGCCTTTCTCAAGCAGGTTCCCATCACCATTCCTACCACAACAGGAATGTAAAAGCCACACAATGAGAGGTCCTTCAGTCACATTACCTTCCTGGGGAAAATGCTAAAGAGTTTGGTTATGTTTATTGAATTCATGAATTGCTACCCACAACAAGAAGTCTCAAAGCAATTCATGAGATTAAAATACAGTAATACAAATATGCAAACCTTAAACATAGTTAGAATAACAACATCCAGTCATTGGTTCTGTCCAAATGCCTGGGAAAATAAAACAAAAAATGCCTTTGCTTGGTGCTGCTAAAACATGGATAAATGGATAAGTGTTGGAGCCAGCAT